TTACATCCAACAATATTGTATGAGGCATCCATCGGAACCAAATCCCAAGTCCCGTTTTTCACGAGAGCATCGAATTCTTCTGTCATGGCCTGTCTCCAATGTGGTGATTTGAGAGCTTGGGAAACACACGTGGGTTCAGTTTCATGAGATGGTTTCGAGGCTATGGTGTTGGCGAATTTGGTGTTGGGTTTTGTGATTTGGTTCTTTGACCTTGTTGTCATCGGATGAAGATTTCTTGGTGGGCAAGGTGGTTGTTGAGTTTCAGATGTAGATGTTGTTTCGGTGGGTACAGGGGCAGGGTTGGTTGGGTTGTTGTTTGGAGAGGATATGGCATTTGGTGAGGTGTCTGTAGAGGCCGTTGGTGTGGTTGTTACCAAGGGAGAGGTGTCCAGGGATTGAGGCGGTGTGGTTTCGGGCGAGGTAGATCGAGGCGAAGATTCCGACAGCGGGGACATAGCAGCGGGAGACGGCGTGATGAGTGAGCGACTCGGTACTATAGTGTGAGAGGGTGATATCGACTGTGAGGTTTCACCTGTCGGAGATAAACCCGGGGTTGACTTCGAGAGTGAGGCAAAAGGAAAGGAGGACTCGACAAAATTAACGTGACGGGAAGAGTAGACACGAGAGGTTGGGAGATGAAGACACAAAAAGGCATGTTGGGTTAAAGAGTAACCCACGAAGACACACGGTTGTGAGCGAGGTTCGAGCTTATGGTGAGAGTATGGACGAAGCCAAGGAAAGCATAGACAACCAAAAGTTCGGAGTTTAGTGTAGTTCGGTGTTGAGTCAAAAAGAGTTTGAAATGGTGATTTATACGATAAAATTTTTGTTGGGAGACGGTTGATGAGATAAACGGCAGCCGGAAACGCAAACGTCCAATATGACAACGGCATTGATGCATGAGTAAGGAGTGTTAATCCCGTCTCCATGATATGCCGATGTTTACGTTCCGATATCCCATTATGCTCGGGGGTATGGGGAGGAGTGGTGAGATGTGTGATACCATGTGTCGAAAGAAAGGACCGAAGAGCAATGTACTCTCCTCCATTGTCTGAGTAAAACGTTTGAATTTGGTGGTTAAAACGGTTCTCGACAAGAGACTTAAAACGAGGAAAAATTTCGAGAACTTGAGATTTTCGTTGTAAGGGGTACAACCATGTGTAACGAGTATAATGATCAACGAAAATCACGTAATATTTGAGACCATCGAAAGAGACAACGGGAGATGTCCAAACATCCGAAAACACAATTTGTAAAGGACGGGATGAAGAAATAGAAGACACTGAAAACGGAAGTTTGTGAGTTTTATTCATAGAACACGGGGTGCATGACAAATGCTTATTTCGATTGGACGACAAAGGCAAAGAAAATTGTTGAATGACCTTATTAAGAATATCAAAAGAGGGATGGCCTAGCCTCGAATGCCAATCCGAAAACGTGGTCTTAAAAGCGGTAAAGGCCGAAATTGGTGAGGGGGAGACACGGGAAAAGACCGAGGGCCACTCATATACGCCGTCTTTAAGTGTTCCGCCGGTTAGCCGCGCCCCCGTTGCGAGATCCTTCACCTGAAAATATGTGGGAAAGAATTCAACGGAAACATGGTTAGTGGTGCAAAGTTGGTGTATAGAAATGAGGTTTTTACGCAAGGAGGGAACGCATAATATATTGGTAAGCGATAGAGGTCGACTGGATAAAGGGAATGATAATGAACCTGTGTGTGTTATCGGATGAGATGATCCGTCACCAAGCTCCACTTCATCACCACCGGAATAAGGCGCATGAAGGGAGAGATTGTGTAAATCCGAGGTAATATGATGTGATGCCCCGGAGTCAAGCAACCATGTAGGAGAAGAGGCGGCGGTGGAGATATTGACGTGATGAGCATGAGGCTGCCAAGGCGCGGTGTTATTGGTAGGACCGGAGGAAACAGAGTTGAGAGAGCCACCAGAGGTGCGGAGTAAGTGACAACGCTTGGCACTGTGGCCTTGAGTGCCACATAATTGACACTTTCCTTGGTAGCCATGTGACGGCTTCCGGTTACGAGAATCCGAGGGAGAACGTACGGATTGCTGCCACGGTGCGCGAGATCCATGAGGCCTCGATTGAGTGTTGTGAGCGGAGATCGGCATGACAGAGGGCAGTGGCTCAGAGGCAAGGAGAACAGACTCATGATTCAAGAGTCGTTCATGCAGTTCAACAAATGAGATCGGCAAGTCTCGAGCGTTGATGGCGTCTTTGACGGGGCGGTACTCATCACCAAGGCCGGCGAGAACAAGATCAACTAGATCTTCATGATCTAATGGCTTGCCGAGGATTGCAAGTTCATCTCCCTTAGTTTTGAAAAAGTGCATATATTCATCAATCGATTTGCCGGCTTTGGTGAAGCGTTTCATATGATCCTTGATCTGTTTGATGTGACCTCTGCTGGATCTTCCATATGTTGAGGCAAGTGTGGTCCATGCTTCAGTCGTTGTGGTTGCTCTAGCAATGAGAGCTTGAGAAGAGGTCGAGATCGAACCGAGCAACGCCGAGAAAATGAGTCGATCCTGACGAAACCAGGATGTGTACGCAGGGTTTGTCTTCACCACACCATTCTCAGTGATCGTCGGAGCAATGACGCTATCTGCGTCAAGGAAAGATTCAAGGTTGTAGCCTTGGAGAAGGGACTTGACTTGAAGGCTCCATGTGAGGTAATTGGTGGCTGATAGCTTGGAGATGTTGTTTACGTTGATGTTGATGAGCAATGGCGCGGTGCTGTCGGGATCATAAGGCCGAACAGTTTCTGTGGTGGGGGTTTGGGTTGTTGTGCCGTCAGAAGACATGATCAGCTTGGTAGAAAAAAAAAATTTGAGTGGTTGATGTCGTTAGACAGAGGCTCTGATTACCATATACGATGGTTAGGGAAAGTGTTTTCCTTGTATTGCAAAATCATTCTGTACATGAGTTATATATACGCAGAAGAGAGTAACAATACAGCAGATATGGAGGAGAGATTTGATATAAACAAAATAGCGAGATATCCTTTTGACTTTTGACTCATTCCTTTATCTAGTAGTTGCAAATATTTACAGAGGAAACCAGATGAAAAAAAAAAATATCTTCCAGAAGAGGGAAATAATATTTTCCCGAGAAATCCAGAGAAAGAAACAACTTCCATCTCAGATTTGGCCAACACAAATCAAATGGAAACCCTAAGCTGCTCTCCTCTTTGAGCACAAGACCTAGACGACCGTACGAGTTGCAGTAAGTTTTCTCGGATTCACCTCGTTTTTCCCAGCAAAAAACAGAAAGCGCAAAACGAATGGGCTTATCAAAACCAAAAAACTCAACCACTCACCAGAGTACCAAGAACAGCTTCAACGTCGACGGAGATTCTGGGACTTACTTTGAATTCGGAGTGTTGATGATTCATAAGGAGTCGAGGACTGGGTTTTCACGTACGGTCATTCCCGCCATGCACATGGCGTGACACACCTCACGATTTAGGCAACCGTACAAGTCGTTGGCCGAGGCCGCTCTATTGGGCCTAAAGGGCCCACCATAATCGGATTCATTTGAGCCCATGAGCTCAATACGACTAACTGAATACAGTCACATTCTCGGCTACATATTTACCGTTATACGCTTAGTTAACCGACGTCGTTTCGTCCTTGACCGAGAAACTCTGTCGTGTAGTGTTCCTCGTCCCTCTGGAGCCCACTCGCCTTTCGCCCGCACTTGCTCGAGTCTCGCCTCCGAGCCACGAAACCCTCCACCTGCTTCAATGGATTTGAAGACATTTACCCACAGGTTCCACCTTAAATCTGCCAACTTGATTAAAGAAAAAGAAATTGCCAATTCTGGTCACTGGGTTGACTCGTCTGATCTTTGAGTCAACTCGTCCGCTAGCGTCAACTAGTCCTACTAACTAGTTCTTTTTTCTCTTCGCCCGACTTGCATTTTTTTGTCCTTTAGTTTGGCATGCATGCATGAGGTACCGACGGCTGCGAAGGCATCATCTTCCTCGAACTTCCTCAATAGAAATTACTCACTCGAATTTTCCACGATTTAATAGAATCCGAAACTTTGCTCTATATAACTCTTTTCTCTAGCAAACGCTATCAAGGAGTTGCGAATATTTGCACAGGAAAACCAGACGAAAAACAAATATCTTCCAGAAGAGGGAAATAATATTTTCCCGAGAAATCCAGAGAAAGAAACAAGTTCCAGCTCAGATTTGGCCAAAGCAAATCAAATGGAAACCCTAAGCTGCTCTCCTCTTCGAGCACAAGACCTAGACGACAGTACGAGTTGCAGAAAGTTTTCTGGGTTTCACCTCGTTTTTCCCAGCAAACAAACAGGAAGCACAAAACGAATCGCAAAAAAAAAACTCACCTCTTCAGCTGAGGACTAAGAAAAGCTTCACTGTCAAGAGAGATCGTGGAACAGAGAGCACAAAACAGACTGCTGATGAATGAGTTATAAGGACTGTGTTTTCACGTACGATCCTTTCCGCCATACCCATGGCGTGACACACCTCACGATTTAGGCAACCGTACAAATCCTTCGCCGAGGCCGCTCAATTGGGCCTTGAGGGCCCATCATAATCTGATTCATTTGAGCCCATAACCCGAATACGACTAAGTGAATAACCGCAGAAACGGATCAGAAAATGTAAATGTATTTATTTACTACGGGAGAGTTAAAGAGTTATAAATGTAAATGAAAATATCTTTAGGGGTGGATTAATGATTAGTTTCTGTTTATTCGGTTTTGTTTATTTTGGGGTTTAAAATTTTATAAACCAAAATTTGAAAAACAGTATACAAAAATGTAAAAAAAAAAAAATCAATCTGGTTGTATATGATAGTAACAAAATTAAATAAACAGTTTTGACTTAGATATAGTATATAAACAATATAGTTGAATAAAACTATAAACCTTAAATATCAAGAAGAAAAAGACCAACAAGCTGATTTGATGGTTAAATTTGGAGGAGGAGCCTACCAAGAAGATGAAACTAGAAAAAAGGCCAAAAGGCTTATTTCATGGCTAAGAACAGAGGAGGAACCTACCAAGAAGATGAAGTGAAGACAGACTAAAACAGTTTCAGTTCAGGTACAACTCTCTGAGTTTTCACCTCTTCTTGTTCTTGCCCTTCTTCTTTGCGGCATTCCGGATTTTCTTGGGACTTTGGATCCTCGCCACGTCCTTTAACAGCTCCTTCTTTGTGGCATCCGGGGCTTTACTGGGACTTTGGATCCTCTGGGATATCTCTAACACCTCGGAGAGCGTAACTCCATCAGGAGAACCGTCTGGGAGATTTCTAATCTTGAGCAACTTCCTCACCTTTGGTGATTTTGTCGCTGTATTTGACAATGAGGGAAACAAGGGGTATGAATTCAAGAGACGTATCCACCATTTCTTCTCACACACTTGACAAAACAAGAAATGAAAGGAGACGCATATGAAAGATATCATTAAGTTCGTAGGGAAATCCACTTACCCATATCTAATCCATACCCAATTATATTAGATGAGATCATGAAACAGAACACTGCCTGCAAAAGTTACAACAGATTGAGACGCACATGAATGGCTATGATATCAAGAATGCTGGACAAAGAAATAGAAGCTACGCTCCTCAAAACTCAAGCTTTACCGATTCAATACTGAATATAGCTTGAAATGCAACAGTAGTAAAGATCCAACAAAGAAGGCTAAAGGCTTCAAATCCTGGTTTCTGCTGCCTTTGGTAGGAGTCGTCGGACTATCAAAATGGAAAAGTCAAGTTAATTGAACATACACTGTATTTGGTTTGCAAAATCATAAACACCTACCATCGTTGTAAACCAGAAAGTGACTCCCATCACAGCAGGCAAGACGTAAAAGCTGTCTGGAGTTGTAAGATCAGTGAACCAGAGGATTCCACCGCTTTCGAAGGATGGCATTTTCTGAGCCATGTTCCGTATCTGTTCAGAGTTTTTTTGGGTTAGTACAGATGGCCAAAAGATTCAAAGCAGCGAGTTTCGTAATTTTACTGCAAGGAAAGTGCTGATGTAGATGAACCAGTCCGCAGCAGTTGCAATCAGTAGAGAAAGACCAGGTTTCAAGCTGCAGCAGTCCGCCGAAGAAGCAGAAAAAAAAAACAGATTACTATAGCAATTTGAGAGGCGGTCTTTTGTTCATGTAATGACTTTTATCATATGGTCAAAGAGAGCTCACTCGTCAAAGATCAATAGCCATTCTCTTTTAAACTTCACTAGATCTGTCTGGAGAAAAGGAGAGAAAATCGAAGCAGAGAAGATGGACATTATCCAGGTTTGTTATACAGTCTGCTGTACTTTTTGCACGTTTCACTTTCTTCAGATGCCTGAGCACATCTACATGTGGAAATCCGAAATCATATCTGATAATTGCAAAGTCTGTCACGATACGCTATCTAGTAGGCGCAAATCCGAATTCATATCAGATAGTTGCAAGTCTAATAAGAACGATGCTTAAAAGAGGAAACCAGATGCTAGAATCCGTAGAACGAATAATTTCCAGAAGGAGGGAATAATATTTTCCGGAGAAATTTAGAGAAAGAAACAAGTTTATGCGTCGGATTTGGCCAATAGAAATCAAATGGAAATCCTAAGCCGGTCTCATCTTCGAGAACAAGACCTAGACAACGGTAAGAGTTGCGGAAAGTTTCCTCGGTTTCACCACATTTGTCCCAGGAAGCATAAAACGAATGGCCGAAAAACACAGTACCTCCTTACCAGGGGATTAAGAAAAGCTCGATCTCCAGTACCGCTTCGATTTCGACTTCGAGCGAGAGAGAGAGAAAGAGACTATGGTAAAGCTCGATCACCAATACCGCTTCAATTTCAAAAGAGGGATTCTGGAACTCAGTTTGAAATCGGTGAAGCTTTTCTTTCCAAGTTAATAATCGTCTCCCTCTCTCCAGATTTCATCTGAATAAAGACATTTACATTTTCCGGCGCGTTTCGGAAGATGTTTAATTACTCGTATTTTGGGCTCATGGGTCAAATCAAATGATTCATATGTTCATGGGCCCTCAATAATTCGCATTGCCTTCATAAAAAGCATCTCAGAGCTGTGGGTTTGTAACTTGTCACCTTCAGCCCTCAATAAACTTCTGTTGAAGAGAAACCTCTGACCCGGTCGGAGACTCTTCTTGGTTTGGTCTTGCCGGATTGAGCTCGGTTTAGGATTAACCAGTGATAACCGATTGGTCAAAACAGAGCGTTTCTTAGATTCACGTCGTAAAGAGAGAAAAAGCAAGAAGGCCAGAGGCGATTTCCGGCGAAGATGGGGGTTCGTCTGTTGGGTACGTGTTCTTTTCGGTTGTATTCTTATTCTTTCCCGGTGAGCCTCCGATTTGGTGTGGAGGGCCACCGTGGTACTTTCGTACAGTGGATTCGTCGGTATCATCCGGCTAGAGGTGGGAATCGCAGGGTCTGAACTCGTTGAATCTCTGTTGCCTTTTTTGATCCTCTGTCCTTGAGTAGGAGTGAAATGGGAGAGGACGTGCGGGTATCGACCTACAATTTCATTACATAGGATACGATGTTTTTCTCTAAGGACATCAGAATAATATGGTTCGATACACTACAAACCTGAAACGTCGAGAAGAAAAAGTTCAAAGGTTGACTGATAGTTAAAGTAGGAGGAGGATCCCACTGCAAAGAAGATTAAGTGAAACACCTTTACCAGCAAGACAATCTAAAGCAGTTTCAGGTTCAACTCTCTTGTTCACTTCTTGTCCTTCTTCTTTGTGGCGTTCCATTGCTCCTCGACACTTAGGAACCTCTGCCAGATCTCTATCTGGCCGTCCATTGTTGCTTCGGTAGAGTTCTTTGTGGCGTTCGGCTGTTCCTTACGACTCTGCTGGAGCGAATTTCTTCAGCGGAGGCCTTGTAAGCCGAGGCTAATGAGAAACAGTCTGGGAGACCAAGCAACTCCCTCACCTTTGGAGACCTTAACATATCTATAATGAGGGAACAAAGGATGTGGTGAAACCGAGGAAACTTTCCGCAACTCTTACCGTTGTCTAGGTCTTGTTCTCGAAGATGAGACCGGCTTAGGATTTCCATTTGATTTCTATTGGCCAAATCCGACGCATAAACTTGTTTCTTTCTCTAAATTTCTCCGGAAAATATTATTCCCTCCTTCTGGAAATTATTCGTTCTACGGATTCTAGCATCTGGTTTCCTCTTTTAAGCATCGTTCTTATTAGACTTGCAACTATCTGATATGAATTCGGATTTGCGCCTACTAGATAGCGTATCGTGACAGACTTTGCAATTATCAGATATGATTTCGGATTTCCACATGTAGATGTGCTCAGGCATCTGAAGAAAGTGAAACGTGCAAAAAGTACAGCAGACTGTATAACAAACCTGGATAATGTCCATCTTCTCTGCTTCGATTTTCTCTCCTTTTCTCTGGTTGATCTGAATATTCACAAAGAATGTTTCTTTAATGCTTTTCAAAAATGTTTCAGTGTCCTATAGAACTCTGGTCTTGGATTTTGTTTCAACGGTTTGGTTACTGAATTCAGAGCCGTTACTTCCTCCAGGAAATTCCTGCTAGAAATGGCTTGTTTGCGTGCTGTCTCGAGGAGGACAAATCTTTTGCCTAGACAGTTTTGGATGCTCGAACGGCCAGTTCTTCATGTTAACAAAGATGATACCAGAACTGATTATTTGAATTCCAGCCCTTTGACTTGTGGACTGCATAGTCAAGCTCGTAGGCATGATTGTTCGTTGGAAGAGAGGAAACACATGTCTTTTGCCCGAACATTGGGATCTGGCTTCTTACTCTGTAGGCACATGTCTTCGAAACCAGAAGAATGTTCGAACAAGATCGATTGGAATTCCACAGTTGTTGAGGAACTTGTCCCAGAAGAATCTTTAATTAGAAGTCGATGGATGTCTTAGTACCTTGTCCTGCACAGAAAGAAGAATATTGTGAGCCTCATTAACTCGTTTAGTAATCTCACTGAAGTTTTGTTTAGACAGGCTTTTAATAGGGAATTTTTGTTGCCTTTGCTTCCTATAGAAAGCAGAAAGAGTAGTTGCATTTCTCCCAGCCATACTCCAAGAGGTTTGGATAGTTGGGAGGAAATCAGGATGGTCAAGGACAAAGTTGAATATTTTGAAAGGCTTAGGACTAGACAGGAGTTGTCTTGACAGACGGACTAGACTTGGACAGTGATCGGATTTCAGACCCCCTCATCCCTCCGATCACTGTCCAAGTCTAGTCCGTCTGTCAAGACAACTCCTGTCTAGTCCTAAGCCTTTCAAAATATTCAACTTTGTCCTTGACCATCCTGATTTCCTCCCAACTATCCAAACCTCTTGGAGTATGGCTGGGAGAAATGCAACTACTCTTTCTGCTTTCTATAGGAAGCAAAGGCAACAAAAATTCCCTATTAAAAGCCTGTCTAAACAAAACTTCAGTGAGTTGTAAGTTATTACGAGAGTACCACTGAAAAGCACTCTGCCCCGTCTTTTAGCCATCAAACCCCGGCTATGACACGCTTCGCCAACTTCTTGTACACTCTCGGCCTCCATGATCTACCATATCAAGGACCACTCTTTACTTGGACAAACAAGCAAGTGTTGAATCCTATAGCAAAGAAACTCGATAGAGTTTTGGTCAATGACTCTTGGAGACTACTATTCCCTGATAGCTCAGCCATTTTCAGACCCCCTCATCCCTCCGATCACTGTCCAAGTCTAGTCCGTCTGTCAAGACAACTCCTGTCTAGTCCTAAACCTTTCAAAATATTCAACTTTGTCCTTGGCCATCCTGATTTCCTCCCAACTATCTAAACCTCTTGGAGTATGGTTGAGAGAAATGCAACTACTCTTTCTGCTTTCTATAGGAAGCAAAGGCAACAAAAAACCATCGCCTCCACAATCAGGGGAGGCAGGGGAGAATATCTAACCCCTAAATTCGTGTAATGGAAGGTTTCTTTTGGAATGTTAAAGGCCTAAATGATGGCTGTAAACAAGTCGAGTTACGACATTTTTTGGCACAACAAAAACCGATTTTTGGAGCATTGTTTGAGACACACATTCAGCAACCAAATGCAGACAGAATACTCGCAAAGTTGGGAGAAGATTGGTCAAGATTGGATAACTATCAAGAAAGCAATCTAGGTAGAATATGGGTTCTATTCAGAGGAGAGGCCTCGGCTCAATTGCTCAAACGCACTGCAAACGAGATAACTGTTGAGATGACAGTCCAAGGGTGGTTGCCTTTCATCCTATCAGCTATTTATGCTCCCAATCAAGTAGCTGATAGAGATGCCCTATGGAGCCAGCTTCTTCAAACTCACCAGCAGTTTGTACAGCCAAGAGGTGGAGCATGGATCCTCGGAGGGGATTTCAATGAGATCCTCGGAGGGGATTTCAATGAAATCCTCTTACTAGCACAGCACTCTGCCCCGTCTTTTAGCCATCAAACCCCGGCTATGACACGCTTCGCCAACTTCTTGTACACTCTCGGCCTCCATGATCTACCATATCAAGGACCACTCTTTACTTGGACAAACAAGCAAGTGTTGAATCCTATAGCAAAGAAACTCGATAGAGTTTTGGTCAATGACTCTTGGAGACTACTATTCCCTGATAGCTCAGCCATTTTCAGACCCCCTCATCCCTCCGATCATTGTCCAAGTCTAGTCCGTCTGTCAAGACAACTCCTGTCTAGTCCTAACGAGCCAGTCAGCGTTCATCAAGGGTCGACTGATGTCTGAAAACTGTCTGCTTGCGAATGAAACTGTCAGAAATTATCACGGCAAGAGGATCTCCAAGAGACTGACTCTCAAGATAGAAATTGCGAAGTCATTCGATTCCATACGTTGGGATTTCATTCTCACTACTATGAAAGCCATGAATTTAGATCCCCATCTAGTCTCACTGATCGAAACCTGTATCACTACGCCGTCCTACTCAGTTTGCATCAATGGTGGTATGTTTGGCTACTTTCAAGGGAAACGAGGATTAAGACAGGGATGTCCATTGTCTCCTTACCTGTTTGTTATCTGCATGAATATATTATCGTTAATGCTTAAGGAAGGTGCAGGAAACGGGGTATTTGGGTATCATCCGGACTGTAGAGAAGATAAGATCACTCATCTTAGTTTTGCTGATGATTTGCTAATTTTCTCGGATGGGGAGGTCAGATCTGTGCAAGGTATACTTTCTATTCTTCATAAGTTCTTCCTGATCTCGGGTCTTTCGATAAACAAGAATAAATGCAGCCTAATAACGGGGGGTTTAACTGGTCTAGAAATGGAGGAGATACAAAGACAAAGTGGAATTCAATTGGGTCAGTTGCCTTTAAGGTATCTTGGAGTGCCACTAACTTCCAAGAAATTAAGTCTATCAGATTGTCTTCCGCTTTTGGAGAAAATAAGAAATAGATTTAACTCTTGGACAGTTAAAAGCCTATCTTTCGGAGGAAGACTGCGATTACTTGAGTCAGTTATCTCGGGCATTACGGCATCTTGGCTAGCGGTTTTTGTCCTACCCAAAAGTTGTATTAAAAAAATTGACTCCATGAGTTCGACATTTCTGTGGAAAGGGGAAGTAGATTCACGTGGCGGAGCAAGAGTATCATGGGACAAAGTCTCTACTAGAAAATCAGCAGGTGGCTTGGGACTCAGAAACATCAAGGACTGGAATGACATTGGAATCCTAAAACTCATCTGGGCCATGTTCTTCAGAAGCGGGTCATTATGGGTTGCATGGATCAAGAGAAAATATTTAGGCAGGGAAAGCTTCTGGATGCTCAGACCTAGCGCTAGACATTCATGGAGCTTTAGGAAGATTCTAAAAGGCAGAAATTTAGCACATGACTTTATTTCTACTTCTTTGGGGAATGGTCAGTGCACCTGGTTCTGGCATGACGTCTGGTCCCCGTTCGGGAGGTTGATTGACTACTTCGGACCCCATGGACCTCAGCAACTTGGCATCCCAAAGGCTGCGAAGGTGGCAGACATATATAGAAATGGCACGTGGGTTTTTCCAGCAGCTAGATCTGAGGAAGCTATCAATTTATCCACTTATTTGACAGATAAAACACTGCAGGACCGAGAGGATTCAGTCACATGGAGAGTCGGAAACTCATCTAGCCAAGATTTTGTTGCAAAATCTGTCTGGAACTACCTCCACAGGAATATCGAAAAGGTAACATGGGAGAACATAGTATGGTGCAAGCTAAACACTCCCAAACATGCTTTCATAACTTGGCTATTCATTCATAACCGCTCTCCCACGAAAGATCGGATGAAGACATGGGGAATACAGATAAACACCGATTGTGTCTTCTGTGGAACTGAAGAGGAGAGTAGAAATCACTTGTTCTTTCTTTGTCCAGCATTAAAAGATCTGATAATTTTTTCGTTGCATAAATGGGGGGCCCTTCCTCAAGTGCTATCGTGAGATTCTGTTCTCTCATGGTTGGGAACGCAATGGGACAACAACTCGTATAATTGGGCCGCTTGCATAAGTGATTGGGTCTGATGGCAGCCATTTTTGCTATGAAGGAATTATCAATATCTCGTCTCAAGGCTGCCATGTCCTTATAACGCGATGAGTGGATTCTCGAGTTTCTCTCTAGCCATATAGTGTATATGTAGATCTGCCAGGTTATGCAAGCGGCCCAATTATACGAGTTGTTGTCCCATTGCGTTCCCAACCATGAGAGAACAGAATCTCACGATAGCACTTGAGGAAGGGCCCCCCATTTATGCAACGAAAAAATTATCAGATCTTTTAATGCTGGACAAAGAAAGAACAAGTGATTTCTACTCTCCTCTTCAGTTCCACAGAAGACACAATCGGTGTTTATCTGTATTCCCCATGTCTTCATCCGATCTTTCGTGGGAGAGCGGTTATGAATGAATAGCCAAGTTATGAAAGCATGTTTGGGAGTGTTTAGCTTGCACCATACTATGTTCTCCCATGTTACCTTTTCGATATTCCTGTGGAGGTAGTTCCAGACAGATTTTGCAACAAAATCTTGGCTAGATGAGTTTCCGACTCTCCATGTGACTGAATCCTCTCGGTCCTGCAGTGTTTTATCTGTCAAATAAGTGGATAAATTGATAGCTTCCTCAGATCTAGCTGCTGGAAAAACCCACGTGCCATTTCTATATATGTCTGCCACCTTCGCAGCCTTTGGGATGCCAAGTTGCTGAGGTCCATGGGGTCCGAAGTAGTCAATCAACCTCCCGAACGGGGACCAGACGTCATGCCAGAACCAGGTGCACTGACCATTCCCCAAAGAAGTAGAAATAAAGTCATGTGCTAAATTTCTGCCTTTTAGAATCTTCCTAAAGCTCCATGAATGTCTAGCGCTAGGTCTGAGCATCCAGAAGCTTTCCCTGCCTAAATATTTTCTCTTGATCCATGCAACCCATAATGACCCGCTTCTGAAGAACATGGCCCAGATGAGTTTTAGGATTCCAATGTCATTCCAGTCCTTGATGTTTCTGAGTCCCAAGCCACCTGCTGATTTTCTAGTAGAGACTTTGTCCCATGATACTCTTGCTCCGCCACGTGAATCTACTTCCCCTTTCCACAGAAATGTCGAACTCATGGAGTCAATTTTTTTAATACAACTTTTGGGTAGGACAAAAACCGCTAGCCAAGATGCCGTAATGCCCGAGATAACTGACTCAAGTAATCGCAGTCTTCCTGCGAAAGATAGGCTTTTAACTGTCCAAGAGTTAAATCTATTTCTTATTTTCTCCAAAAGCGGAAGACAATCTGATAGACTTAATTTCTTGGAAGTTAGTGGCACTCCAAGATACCTTAAAGGCAACTGACCCAATTGAATTCCACTTTGTCTTTGTATCTCCTCCATTTCTAGACCAGTTAAACCCCCCGTTATTAGGCTGCATTTATTCTTGTTTATCGAAAGACCCAAGATCAGGAAGAACTTATGAAGAATAGAAAGTATACCTTGCACAGATCTGATATGAAGAACGTAAGTTTTGTAAATATGATATATAACTATAACTAGAGTTTAACTTTTTCTATTTTTTATTCTAAAAAATTTAGTTACTTTACTATTATAATCATTAATCAAACCAAATCGAATTTAGATTTTATTACTATTTGATTATAATTTGAATTAGATATAAATGAATCAAACTGTAACTATAACTAAATCGAGTTGAATAAATTTAAATAGCCGCTTTGATCATAAATTTTCAATTAAACTTGGAAAGAAAGCCTTGGAAAAAACGAATATCACTCCAGCCCTTGACAAAGTTCATTAGATAGGATACGATGCTTTCAGAATAGGATTTGTTCGATACACTACAAACCTGAAAAGTCAAGAAGAACAAGACCAAAAGGCCGATTGATAGTTAAATTCGGAGGAGACAATATGAAGCAGTTGCAGGAAAAACTCTCAGAGTTTTCACTTCTTGCCCTTCTGCTTTTCCGTGCGACTTTGGATCTTCTGCTTCAACTTTAACAGCTCGGGGCGCATTTCTTCACAGGAGGCCTTGGAAGCCGCGTATAATGCGAAAACGTCTGGGAGACCGAGCAACTCCCTCACCTTTGGAGATTTTACCATAGCTGGAATTGATAATGAGGGAACAAAGGTGTATGAATATAAGAGACAGAACCACCACTTGTTCCCAAATGTTTAACAAAACAAGAAAGGAAGGGAGAACATATCATTATGTTCGCAGAGAAAAACCACTTACCCAAATCTATTCCATGGATAGCTACTCTAGATGAGATCATGAAACAGTACACGGCCTGCAAAAGTTACAACAGATTGGGACTCACATGAATGGCTGTGATATCAAGCATGCTGGACAAAGAAATGGAAGCTACGCTTCTCAGAACTCAAGCTTTACCGATTCAATGCTGAATGTAGCTTGAAATGCAACACTCGCAGAGATCCAACAAAGCAGCCTCATGCTTCTTCTGGCTGCTGAATTCTCCTGCCTACTGAGGGGCTATCAAAACGGAAAACACAAGTTAAATGAATAAACGTTGCGTTTGGCTTGCGTAATTATAAACACCTACTATCGTTGCAAAGCAGAAAGTGAGCCCTGTCACAACAGGCAAGATGTAAAATCTGTCAGGAGTTGTAAGATCAGTGAACCACAGGATTCCACCACTTTGGAAGGATGGCATCTTCTGAGCCATGTTGTGTATCTGTACATAGTTTTTTGGGTTAATACAGATTGCCAAAATATGCAAAGCAGCGAGTTTCGTATGTTTACCGCAAGGAAAGTGCTGATGTAGATGAACCCCTCTGCAAGACATGCAATCAGATAAGAAGGAAACCTGAAGTCCGCCAAAGATGCAAAAGAGCAAATTAGATACCGATTTGAGAAGCAGTCTTTCCGTTCATGTAATGCTTTTATCATACGGTCAAACAGAGCTCACTCTTCAAAAATTGCCTCCGATTCTTTTTTTCCAGTCTCCAAGCCATGTCAGCAAAGGTACGTATGAACCTTTTTGATTATCTTTTTCTGGAAAACCAGAAGTCTAAGTGGCCTGGAATGTGGATGTAAATACATGGAAGCTCAAAGATGGTAAGAAGATGATAGAGTACTGAAATCAAATAAGATTCAGAATTGTATTTCCATCCACTGAAATACAATGTCCAGAGCTATTCGAGAGGCTCAACTCTCCAAAACCAAATCTATTCTCAAAATAATCGATAACCCCAAATCCCCTAACCCTAACGTAGCTATATAGGATTCTCTTAACAACCTACTGATGAGGTGGCATAAAACCTGAATATGGATAGAAATAGAATCATAACAACTCTCAGCTGCCCTCGTACTTCATTTCGCTCCTCTTCCTTCTGAGTTTTTGTGTTCTTCCTTCTGATGATCCTCTTGCTGCCCACTTGTATGCCTTTCGACGTGTCCCCGCTTGTTCCTTCTTCTGTAAATCCGGAAAGGTCTATCAATACCCCCCCCTTGTAGACGGAGCTTGTCCTCAAGCGAGAATCCTGGAAATTGCACCGAAAATGTTTCTGCTAGTTCCCAAGAAGCTTCGTGCTCAGGCAGACCCATCCACGCGATCAGCACCTCAAGAAATCCTTGTGACGAATAACGAAAATTCAGCAGGGCCTTTGGTTCCAACCGCCACTCCAATTCAGCATTGATGTGCTTTGGTAAAGGGTTCGGTGTGAAATTCGCTCCCACAGCCAACTTCAACTGAGAAACATGAAAGACCGAGTGAATTTTCGCGTCCTCCGGTAGTTTGAGACGATAAGCTACCTTCCCGACACGTTCCAAGACCTCGTATGGACCGAAAAACCTAGCCGCTAACTTCTGAAAATTCCGGCGAACTACCGACTGTTGTCTGTACGGTCTGAGTTTTAAGTAAACCCAATCTCCGACTTCAAACGATACTTCTCGGCGTGACGCATCAGCATAGATCTTCATCCTGTGTTGGGCTTTAGATAGATTATCCCGTAGTTCCGATAACATCGCATCCCTGTCTTGCAGCTCCCTTTCCAACTCAAAATTCGCTGTGGAGCCCGGCTCAAAACGAACTAGCATCGGTGGTTCACGTCCATACACAACCCGAAATGGTGTAGTCTTTAAAGAGGTGTGGTAGGAGGTGTTAAACCAAAATTCTGCCCAAGGCAAAAATTTGGCCCAGCGTCTAGGATGGCTGCTCGCATAGCATCGGAGATACGTTTCCAAACACCGGTTCACCACCTCGGTTTGGCCGTCCGTTTGCGGATGGAACGAAGTACTGAAACGGAGTCTGGTGCCGGCCAAACGAAACAATTCTTTCCAAAAATGGCTCAAGAATATCTTATCTCTATCCGACACAATCGAACGTGGAAACCCATGAAGACGTACCACTTCTTTAATGAAAATCGCAGCCACATCGCAAGCTGAGAACGGGTGACGGAGAAGAAGAAAATGACTGTACTTGCTAAGGCGGTCCACCACCACCATGATCACATCAAACCCCAAGGAGCGAGGCAAGCCTTCAATAAAGTCCATCGAAAGATCGTCCCACACTCTGTCCGGAATCGGCAATGGCTGAAGAAGACCCGCCGGCGCCAAGGTGGAATACTTTTGCTGCTGACATACTAAGCAACGAGCTATGTATCGCTGTATGTCGGACTTCATGCCATTCCAAAAAAACACCGATTGAATGCGCTTCAAAGTCTTGAGGAAACCCGAATGTCCCCCCATCGGGTTGTCATGAAACTCACTCAAAATAACTGGAATGAATGCCGAAGACGAGGGTAGCACAAATCTGTCCTTGTACAGTAAGGTGCCCTGTCTCAAGTGATACCCCAGCGGAACCTCCTTCTGGTCCTGTAACTTCGAAATAATATCTGACAACGTACCATCATTAACCACTTCCTTCTGCAAATCTTCCAATTGTAACGAACTTGGGATGGTCAATGCTAACAAGACTGCCACTGTCGATAGACCCGGAGATGGAGAAATCCGAGATAGTCCATCAGCAACGCGATTCTGGAGTCCAGGTTTGTAAATAATTTCGAAATCATATCCGAGAAGCTTCGATAGCCATTTCTGATACTCAAGACTGACTTCTCGTTGTTCTAACAGAAACTTTAGAGCGCGTTGGTCCGTGTGGACCACAAAGTGTCGTCCCAATAAGTAATGTCGCCATCTCTGAATGGCCAAGACGACCGCCATGAGCTCGCGCTCGTAAATGGGCTTGAGTTGTTCTCGAGGTGTCAATCTGCGGCTGAAGTACGCCACCGGCCGACGCTTCTGCATTAATACTGCTCCAATACCGAAACCCGATGCGTCCGCCTCCACAACAAAGGTATCCTGGAAATCTGGTAATATAAGGACCGGTGTGGACAACATCGCTTCTTTCAAGTTATTGAAAGCGCGAGTGGTGAGCTCAGTCCATACAAAGCAGTCCCGTTTCAACAGATCCGTCAAGGGTCGAGCCAGCAGTCCATAATTGCGTACAAATCGACGATAGTACCCTGTCAAACCGAGAAATCCTCGCAAATCCTTGATGTTGGTTGGACATGGCCAATCACGCATAGCTTCGGTTTTGGTGGGATCTGTTCGAACCCCGTCAGATGTGATAATATGCCCCAGATACTCAATTTGTGTCCTTCCAAATTGGCATTTTTTTCTGTTGGCATACAACTGGTGCTGTGCCAACACAGACAAAACCTGCTCCAAGTGTCCCAGATGATCAGAAATGGTTTTGCTGTACACCAGTATATCATCAAAGAAAACCAAGACGAACCGGCGGAGGAAGGGTCGAAACACGTCATTCATCATAGCCTGAAACGTAGCGGGGGCGTTTGTTAACCCAAAAGGCATTACAAGAAACTCGTAATGTCCATCGTGAGTTCGAAACGCCGTTTTCGGAACATCAGTCTTCTGCATCCGAATCTGATGATAACCCGATCTAAGATCTAATTTGGAGAAAACAGCCGCACCAAATAACTCGTCCAAAAGTTGATCGATCATGGGAATAGGAAACTTGTCGGGAATGGTGACGCGGTTCAAAGCCCTGTAATCCACGCAAAAACGCCAGCTGCCATCCTTCTTTTTAACCAATAAGACAGGACTCGAAAACGGACTGAGGCTTGGTTGGATGATACCTGCCTGAAGCATTTCCTTAACCAAGCGCTCGATCTCTTCCTTGTGAGCGTGCGGGTACCGATAAGGACGGACACTCACAGGAGCAGCATCCGGACGCAACGTGATAGAGTGTTCTCTACCCCTAGACGGAGGCAGACCTGTAGGCTCTGAGAAAACGGACGCAAATTTGTCAAGTACCCGTACCAATTCCGGAGCATCGGCGGAGTTTGTCTCCTGAGTTCTAGCAATGGCATTGAATTCAACCATGTAGCTCGCGTCAGATCCCTCGACAGATTTAATCAAAGTCTTCAAGGTGACCAGCGAGTTGTGCAATTCCGGATCCCCTTTCAGAGTGACCGACCCAGCCGAGGTATCAAACCGCATCTCCAATCTTGCAAAATCTAGCTGGAACCGACCCAATGTCCGTAACCACTGCACTCCTAAGATGACATCTGCGCTGCCCAACTCCAATGGTAGAAAATCCGCAACCAACGTGAACTTCTGCATCGTCAGAAAAACAGCCCGACAAATACCCTTCCCTTGAACTGTCATGCCCGTGCCCAAGGACACACCATACCCAGAAGTTGCATCTGTCGGCAATTGCAATTTGTCAAGAACGGCAAGAGAGAGGAAGTTATGGGTAGCTCCACAATCTATCAAAACCACAACTTTCTGTTCCCCTATTGATCCTTGCACTTTCAATGTTTTTGGTGACGTAATGCCCACAATCGAATTCAGAGAGAGTTCTGCAACCTCCTTCGCTTCTGGTTGAGCTTCCCTAACCTCACCAGAATCGTCATCTTCATCGTCAGGGAGAAGAAACTCTCCCTCCTCTTTCACCAAAATCACTTGCAGCTCACGATTCTTACAGCGATGCCCAAAGGAATATTTCTCATCACAGCGAAAACAGAGCCCCTTACGTCTCTTCTCGTCGAGCTCCGCATCATAGATACGACGGACTCCAGATTTCGCAGCCGAATCGGCTGCGTTTTCGCCAATCGGCGATGAGCTCTCCACACGACGGCCCAACGAACTGCGATTCTGCCAGCCCCCATTCCCCGTAGGAAGAGACACAGTGCGAAAATTAGGGGTGTCAAAATAGCCCGAGGCCCGATACCCGGCCCGAACCCGCCCGTAAAATTTGCGGGCTTGGGCTTTACAAATCAAGACCCGTTCGTTTTTCGGGCCGGGTCGGCCCGGCCCGGCCCGTAGGCCCGATTAAAAAAATAAATTATATGTATAAATATATATGTATATAGGTAAATATAGATATACATATATATATTTCACACATATTTGATCATATATATACATTTATTCAATCTTTTATATATATATATATATATATATATATATATATATATTTTATAATGTATATACATATATAAAAAATATACAAATATTATATAATAATAGAAAGTTCTAAAAACTAAAAACTTGTTTAATACTAAATAATTCAGGATATAATATTTTCATAAATGATATAATCAAAATTATAATACTATTAGTTTCAAATACTTATTCCAAATGAAAAATATAATAAATTATCATTTTTAAAAATTTATTACCATATAAAATTAAAAAATTTTAAATTTAAATTTATATTAGATCAAAATATATAACTTTGTAATCTATTTTTTATAGCTCTCAACATGACGGCCCAACGAACTGCGATTCTGCCAACCCCCATTCCCCGTAGGAAGAGACACGGTGCGAAAATTATGACCTGACCCCGATTTTGGAACTCTATTGTCCCACTGTCGAACCCCAATCGAACCCATACAGAGAGGGTTATGTTCCAGATGTAAGGCTAGATCAATGGCATGTTCAATTCCTTGAGGCTTAAAGGCCTCCACCATATTACGCAGATTGGGCTTAAGCCCATTTTTGAAAGCACTTTCTAGAACATCATCTGACACGTCATTCAATTGAGAAAGCAATTCTTCAAAAATCTGCAAGTACTCCAGCACCGATCGATGTTGTTTCAGGGTGAACAAACGATCACTAGGCTTTCCTACCACCTTCGCATCGAAACGGGCCAACATGCGAGCTCGCAGATCCGGCCATCCTCGGAACGGCCGCCGACGGTGTTGCCAATTGAACCAGTGGAGAACTTGGCTCTCAAAACTCATCACTGCCAGTTGAATCTTCTCGCATTCACCGACTCTTCCCATAGCAAAATAGCGTTCGGCTTGAGTAACCCAATCAGCAACGAAAACACCTTCAAAGACAGGCATCTCTATCTTCTTCAATGCTAACTCCGAACCAGCCATAAACAGAGCACAATCGGGTGTCGGTGCTACATCTCCCAACACGGGTTCAGCCATCGCAACCGGGGAATGCGGCGGTGGACTCATCTGATCATCCATCGGAGCTTTTCCCAATCGTACGGAGGGCTGATCACACGTCGACAAACCAGCTGAAGCCATCGGATCTGGAGTTACCTTTGAAGGTCCCACCCCTTGACCAAGCATGGAACACAATTTCTCCAGTATGTCCCGCATCGCTGGAATTTGGCTGCACTCCTTCTGCAGGTTAATCACAGAACCCTGCAGATCTCCTAGTGAATCAGCAAACTCACCCAACCTGGTATGCATCGTCTCCTCCAACTGCTCAAACCTGTGATCTTTTTGATCTTTTGGCGGCATTCTGGATCTGACGGTCTGATACCAATTTGATAGAGTACTGAAATCAAATAAGATTCAGAATTGTATTTCCATCCACTGAAATACAATGTCCAGAGCTATTCGAGAGGCTCAACTCTCCAAAACCAAATCTATTCTCAAAATAATCGATAACCCCAAATCCCCTAACCCTAACGTAGCTATATAGGATTCTCTTAACAACCTACTGATGAGGTGGCATAAAACCTGAATATGGATAGAAATAGAATCATAACAACTCTCAGCTGCCCTCGTACTTCATTTCGCTCCTCTTCCTTCTGAGTTTTTGTGTTCTTCCTTCTGATGATCCTCTTGCTGCCCACTTGTATGCCTTTCGACGTGTCCCCGCTTGTTCCTTCTTCTGTAAATCCGGAAAGGTCTATCAGAAGAATAACAAACCTTGAACGATTTCCCCAAATGTTGGTATATATCCTGAAAGAGCAAGATGAAGGACTTGTGAACAGGGATTATAACTATTGCGAGACGCAAGAAAAGAAACTAAATGCTGCAAAGGAATTTGATAACAGTTGGCAGGCCAAGAAAAAAGCATGGAAAACTAACAACTAAATGTGGAACCGTCTTCAAAACTTTTATACGGGTTGGGATATATAGTCCTCTGACGAGAAACGTCGAGAGAACTATGGATGCGAACCTACACAGCAGCGTAAATGGTTTAGAAGCCAACCACAAAGTATATATAAGCAAGAAGCATGATGAACAAAAACTAAATTGATACCAATTGAAGCCTGTAAACGCATGAACACTGTCAATAAAGTGCTGGATGGCAGCAACTGGAAGAGAAGAATCTGCAGCCGCTAATGCCGCCTCGTTAACTGAGATGACTTGAGTGACTACTGCTTCCAAAGATTCTTCTGGGACAAGTTCCTCAACAACTGCGGGATTGCAATCGATCTTGTTCGAACATTCTCCTGGTTTCGAAGACATGTGCCTACAGAGAAAGAAGCCAGGTCCCAATGGCCGGGCAAAAGATGTGTGTTTCTTCCTTTCCAACAAAAAATCAAGCCTACGAGCTTGACTATGCACTCCACGAGTCAAAGGACTTGAGTTCAGACAATCAGTTCCGGTATCATCTTTGTTAGCACGAAGAACTGGGCGTTCGAGCATCCAGAACTGTCTAGGCAAAAGATTTGTCCTCCTCCAGACACTGCGCAAACAAGCCATTTCTAGTAGGAATTTCCTGGACGAAGACATGACACAGAATTCAGATACCAGACAGAGGAAAATGACGATTTAACAATCCAATGCTTTAGCACAAAGATCCAGAGTTCTATAGGACACTGAAACATTTCGAGTTCGAGTTCCAGCTAGCAAGGAAGTAAAGAAGCAATAAGAGTGGATGCATCGGAAAGGTAATGCAGAAACAAGAAAAAGATAAAAAGTACACAACAGAGTCTCTTCACCTTTGTGAATTTTAAGATCAAGCCGAGAAAAGGCGAGAAAATTGAAGCAGGGAAGATGGAAAATCTCCAGGTTTGTTATTCAGTCGGTTGCACTGTTTACGCTTCACTTTCTTTAAATAAACGAGAATATGCATACGTGAAAATACGAAATCATATGTGATGGTTGTAGATCTGTAGAGAAACGCTATCTACTAGTTGCAAATGTTTACAGAGGAAACCAGACGAAAAACAAATATCTTCCAGAAGAGGGAATAATATTTTCCCGAGAAATCCAGAGAAAGAAACAAGTTCCATCTCAGATTTGGCCAACACAAATCAAATGGAAACCCTAAGCTGCTATCCTCTTTGAGCACAAGACCTAAACGACCGTACGAGTTGCAGAAAGTTTTCTCGGCTTCACCTCGTTTTTCCCAGCAAACAAACAGGAAGCGCAAAACGAATGGGCTTACCAAAACCAAAAAACTCAAACCACTCACCAGAGGACCAAGAAAAGCTTCAACGTCGAGGGAGATTCTGGGTCTTACTTTGAATTCGGAGTGTTGATGATTCATAAGGAGTCGAGGACTGGGTTTTCACGTACGGTCATTCCCGCCATGCACATGGCGTGACACACCTCACGATTTAGGCAACCGTACAAGTCGTTCGCCGAGGCCGCTCTATTGGGCCTAGAGGGCCCACCATAATCTGATTCGTTTGAGCCCATGATCCCAAGACGACTAGTCTTACCTTCTCGGCTACATATTTACCGTTATACGCTTAGTTAACCGACGTCGTTTCGTCCTTGACCGAGAAACTCTGTCGTGTCGTGTTCCTCGTCTCTCTGGAGCCCACTCGCCTTTCGCCCGCACTTGCTCGAGTCACGAAACCCTCCACCTGCTTCAACGGATTTGAAGACATTTACCCACAGGTTCCACATTAAATCTGCCAACTTGATTAAAGAAAAATAAATTGCCAATTCTGGTCACTGGGTTGACTCGTCTAATCTTTGAGTCAACTCGTCCGCTAGCTTCAACTAGTTCTTTTTTCTCTTCGCCCGACTTGCATTTTTTTGTCCTTTAGTTTGGCATGCATGCATGAGGTACCGACGGCTGCGAAGGCATCATCTTCCTCGAACTTCCTCACTAGAAATTACTCACTCGAATTTTCCACGATTTAATGGCATCCGAAACTTTGCTCTATATAACTCTTTTCTCTCGCAAACGTGAAGGAGCGCATTAGAGACGACGAGGAGCTTATATCAGCTTTGGTTAAGGTATGAAGCATTAGATACGCTAATCTATTGTCAGAATGATCAAAAGGGTATTGAAAAAAAAAATCATATTTTGCTTTCTGGCTTTGATGGATAAAATACTGCAGATGGAGGAAGGCATGAATCCTCGGAGAAACATAGTAAGGTATGATCAATTTGGGCGATACAGTTAATCTGTTAAATGGTTAAACAATGAGGTTTTTTAATGTGTTGATGTCTCTTTCTTTTTTTTGGTTAATCAAACAAGTTTTGATAAACCGAATCCGGAGAGAGCTTCAATGGGTGTTCTCAAGACTGTGAAACGATGTTTCAAGAAGGTGACCGAGCCCTATAAATGTGGAGGAGAAGACCCGCAAGACCAGGAGAATGGCTGTGTCCGGAACTGGAAAAAGATTTTCCTGGTGGTTGCTGTGGTGGGTTTGGCCTTGGATCCTCTGTTTTTCTACATCCCCGTGTTCGAACGTGACAGATTCTGCCTTGCTTGGGACAATACAATGAAGATAATAGCTGTCGTTTTCCGTACCTTTCTCGACGGCTTATACATGAATCGCTTCTTGTTTTATTTCCGTGGCAAACGTGTCCTTAACTGGCATCAACACCTATACTTGGTGATTGACATTCTCTCTATTCTCCCTCTCCCTCAGGTCTGTGACATCTGCAATGGTTTCAATTGAGAAGATATGTTAGATTATAGAGAGTTTATGAAATTCCAAAATCCTTGCAGGTGTTTTCTTGGTTTGACACTCCGAATGCGAAGCTTCCAATGACGAGGCAGAAGCTGAAATGGGTTATAGTAGGCCAATACGCACCGAGGATCATCCGAACCTATCCGCTTTACAGAAAAGTGACAAGAGTTTCGGGTAGAGTGACCGAGAGCAGGTGGACCGGAGCTGCTTTCAACCTGTTCCTCTACATACTAGCGAGTCATGTAAGTTCTACGCTCCTTCCCTGCTCATGTTACGACATTCTCAAGGACCGATAGTCGTTAGAAAACTGTGATATCTGTCAGGTTTTTGGAGCTTTCTGGTACTCGGTCGCGATAGAAAGGAAAGACAGGTGTTGGCGAGATGCCTGTAAAAAGATACATGGATGTGTTATAGAGAATCTCTACTGTGCTCAAGCTGGTGGAGACAACCGGCTTTTCTTAAACGGGTCATGCCCATTAATCAACCCCGACCAAATCTCAGACCCTGAAGTGTTCAACTTCGGGATGTTCACTGAAGCACTTCAGTATGGTATTACCGAATCAAGGGACCCTAAGAAGTTTTTCCACTGCTTCTGGTGGGGTCTCCGTAATCTTAGGTTCGTACTTCCTAACATTTTCGAACAGTGTACAAGAGTTGTTGCCTTACCTTTGAAAGTGTTTTGTGCCGACTTAGACATGGATCTTCTTCCTCACAATTACCATTTATTTACCAGTGCTCTAGGCCAAAACCTAAATATAGGCAGCTTTATTGGGGACATATCTTTTGCTATCATCATCTGTCTTTCTGGATTAATCTTGTTGGCTCTGCTCATTGGCAGAATGCAGGTAATGCTCCTTCTTCAGAGTTCTTTATGCTTCACAAAGCTTGATAGAGCAAAACATGATATGCTTAAAAGGTTTTTCTTTGTGATTGCAGAAGTATTTGCAAGAGGAGAAAGAAGAGAAAGCTAGAGACAGAGAACTATGGATGTCTCACCGGGGCCTGCCAGGGGAGATGAGAGAGCGTATTAGGAGATATGAGCGTTACAGATGGAGAAAAACCGGAGGAGTCGATGAAGAAGCTCTTCTCGGTAAACTTCCAGAAGATATCAAACAAGACATTAAAAGCCATCTCTGTCTGAACTTGCTTAAGAAAGTATGAATCTTTTCACTCCATACCCTTCTTTTCATTCACATTCATACACCTACCATCGGTCAATTCACAAAACTCTCAATTTCCAGGTTCCTTTGTTCAAGATCCTAGATGTCTGGCAACTGAATGCGATATCCATCCTAATGAAACCAGTGTTCTACTCTCAGAACAGCTACATTGTGCAACAAGGTGAAGCCATCGAGAATATGTTGTTTATACAGAAAGGCAACCTGAGTTCTCATTCATTCTGCCTCGTGGCTGGTGACTTCTGTTGTGAAGATCTTCTTAAATGGGCTCTAAGTCTCCCTTCCTCTCCTCAACTTCCGATCTCGAGCAATACCATATGGGCTCTAACTGATGTCAAAGGCTTTGTCCTATCAGCTGATGACCTCGAATTTGTTGCGACTCGGTATTCTTGGTTCCATTGCCTGCAATTCCGGCACATGTTCAGGCAAGAAGAGTCTGAAAATGAAAGCATTTCCGGTTCTTATTACAAAACTAGACATAAAAAAGAACAACAATGAAAAAAATCCCTTCATCTGGTTTGCTGTAAATTTCAGGTACCATTCGGCGCAGCAACGGAGATGGGCGGCATGTTTCATCCAAACAGCATGGAGGACACATCGCAGAAGAAAGCTTTCTGTATGTTCAGAAGGAGGCCAATACCAGAACAAGCTTCAAAAGTGACCCAGAAGGCACAACACTCAACCAGATTTCATTACAACTAGTCTCCTCCAGAGAGAGAGAAGCTTAAATGTGTGTAATTGAACTCATGATCTTATAGCTATACTTCCCTACATTATTCGTATGTATTCGAAAGCGAGATTTCTCAGAATAAAATGTTTAATAAAGAGGAGAACTAGAGACAGATATTGATTGAATGCACTTGCGTACGAGATATGTGAATGGGCCATTAGATCAAGATATATTCCAATGCGTCAAGGCTTTACAAAGAAAAATACCTGATCTGGAGAGTCATAACATCATCTTTGTTATGACGAAGAACATGAAAGGGCATTGAGAAATGTCTGAAAAACCTAAGATGTTGGCATCAGAAGAGCAAACACTTGTCGGAATGCGGAAGAATAACGCATGTGGAGTAAGATTTTCACGATCGCCACCATTCGGAAACCCTAAAGCACTTTCATTCGAGTACGAAACACCCATCCGAGTTGCGAGAAATTTTCCCTAATCGTTTCATCGCATTTTCTCAGCAATCAAACAAGAAGCAGAAGAGGCATGGAAAAGCTTCAAAGGAAAAAACATGATGTCAGTGCTTCTTCACCTTCGATGGCTTCATTTGAATTCCATGTTTTAACATTTTCAAAGAGAAATCGTGTATTCAACGTACTGTCATTTCCGCCATTTCCAGAGGTGCTTTTAACCGTTTTAGGGGCCCACACAGAACTGAAGATCGCGCCGTTGCAGATTTCTATCGGGCCCTTAGGCCCATTAATCATATGTTTATTATATCTGGGCCTATCGGCCTGTTTATGATTTATAAACGTCTTAGGCAAACGGAGGCCGTGGAGCCGTTAGAAGCCTAAAACGGTGCGTTTAATTTGTTCTTGCCGGCGGAGAGGACGGCGCTTACTTTGTACGTCCGGCACAAAAATCTCAGCCCTAGGATCTCGCTGAAGTGTGTGATCGATATCTCTGTGCCTCTCGCAGGAGCGCTACAGAGCATTTATCCAGGTAAAGTTCTCCATTTTTTTTTCTGTTTGGTTCCCTAGAAATCCGGGGAACTCCTGAAAATGGAATTTGCGCTGGGGTTTAGGTTGAGCTCTTTTTTGTGGAGAAAATAGGGCTCTGTTTGATGCTTAAGTGTTGAGTTTTTCTTCTTGGAATATTCAGACAACAAATGCTGTGTTCCAGAACTCATGAAGCTGCTCCTGTTTGGCTGTTTCGAATACTCTGCTTGTTTTTTTTTCCCTGGGAGATCACTTGTGCAAAATTTTTGGAACTCTTGTTCTTTTTATATGATTCTGCTCTAGATGATATGTATGTTGAACGTGTTACTGAGAGAAAACTGCTTTGTTAGCAGGAAATTCTTTGTACAAATGGCCAGTTTGCACGGTGTCTCGAGAAGAGTTCAAATTTTTCAAAGAAGGTTTTACCCGTCTTGTGGTCATCTCCTTGGTAATAATAAGGATGACACTGATACAGCGTCTCAAAACCTTGGTACAATGATCCACAAAGTCTTGCCACATAATGGGACTAACAGGTTGAGCTCTCTATTCCGAGAGAGGCAATATCGGTCATTAGCTGGCCCAGTCGGCTTTGGTTTCTCGTCTTGTAGGCATATGAGCTCTACACCGGAAGAATGGTCAGATAAGGTCGATGGTTTTGACTTTGCGGCGGAGGAAATTATCCCTGATGGGACCATTGAAGCTGTGGCAAGCTCCGTTCCTGTAATAAACGAGGTGGCTATTGCAGCTGCAGATTCTTTTTATCCTGTTGCGGCCTTGCAATACTTGGTTGATGGTGTGCATTCATTTACTGGTCTGAACTGGTATGACTTTTAACTCTTTTTTTCACTTGGCTTTTCTCTTGACATTGGTTTATCGGTATGCTCAGTAGTTCTTTCTATTTTCCAGGTGGGCGTCAATAGTTATGACGACTTTGATTATCCGTGGGCTTACAGTTCCTGCCCATCTGAATCAACTGAAGGCTACCTTCAAACTCGAAGTCAGTTTTGATATATGTTCAAATAAATATTGTCATTTAGTGTCACTTTGTGTGCTCTAGGACATGCTACTTTTATCCACTTATAATTATCTATCATGGCCATGCAGATGCTGAAGCCACGCTTGGAGGAGTTAAGAGAAGAGATGAATAGTAAGGTACAACTTTTTCAAGTTCATTGTCTTAAATGTTCATTGTGCACATGGCAAATTCTGGGTTATTAATGTAGCATCAGACAAATAACTTTCTGGTTTGTGGTTTCGCAATAACAGAAGAGACTAGGCTTCCAGTTTTCTTGTGTCATTTTTAGTGTTCATGGGTGAAGTTCCAATCAAATGTGTGACTTTTCAGTGCATCATTTGTTTGAACAGTAGTCCGATTGGGTAGATTTTCAGAGTTTGATGATGATTTCAATTAATATGTTTGGTGCTTATATTTGTTGTTTTCTAGACTATGGATCCTGAAACCATGGCAGATGGTAAAAAACGGATGCAAGCATTATTTCATGAGTAAGTTCTAATTTTCCATCTAGCTAGGACAGCTGCAAGATGTGAATTAGTCTCTTCAATGATACTGGTATGCTTCTATGCTAATTGCACTTTGTGTGTATTACATTTCTCGGGATTGGCTTAGATATGGAGTAACTCCGCTTACTCCTCTGAAAGGAGTTCTTATTCAAGGAACCATCTTTGTCAGCTTCTTCTTTGCGGTAAGCTATATTAGCTTAGTGTCTTAGCGTTGGGTCTGGTCATTAATTTCCACTTATTTTTGGATTCTTGCCTGCAGATTAGAAATATGGCAGAGAAAGTCCCATCATTTAAAAGCGGTGGTACTCTCTGGTTTACTGATCTTTCAATTCCAGATAGCTCATATGTCTTGCCTCTGCTCACTGCACTTACTTACTTGATTACAGTGGAGGTAGGACTTTAATATTTCCTAGAATTTGCATATAATCCCTGTTAACTTATTGTATTTAAGATCTAAGTGACGATATACTTTACATGGTGCAAATGGTTTCCAAAGTTTAAGCCATGAACTTTTATCAGTGTGATTTAATTGTATCTGAATATTGACAAAACCAGATACGGTTGAATCCTGGAGCTACTCTAGTCTTCTGTAGTTCAGAAAGGCTTTCACCTGAGTTATATCTTTGACCATGTGTCCCCCTTGCCCTTTTACTGCCCCGTCTCTTGGCTTATAGTAATCGTGGTTTTCTTTTTGTACATGTGGCATGTAACATGCTACTAATTACCATCAGTCCTTTTCTGTAGTGCGACATGGCGGCAGGCCATGAAGGGAATCCAATGGCTGGAACTATGAAGAAAGTCTCAAGGATCCTTTCTTTTGTCTTGGTTCCCGTCATGATGAGCTTCGAAACTGTAAGAAATACAACCTAGCGCATAGATGGATCTTTGACGCCAAAAGTTGGATCTCAATATCATATGTTCTGACATAATATTGGGCATAGTATTAGAAATATAATGTTTCCGCAGTTGTAAAAGCAATGCTAAGTAAACTAATATCTTTGCAGGCATTGTTCGGTTTCTGGCTTACTTCCAACCTGTTTTCGATTGGATATGGACTTGGCAAGTCTCTTGCAGATAAAAAAAAACACAACTTTTTCCATGCATATATAACATCTATCCTCGCTCTTGCAGCCTGTCTTAAAACTTGCGTTTGACAAATCCTAGAATTCTGATTCGCTCTTTCCTGTGTGTACATACGCAGTGCTAAAACGGCCGGAGGTGAGGAGGCTCTTGAATATCCCGATTTTAGGCAACTCGCCAACCCAGCAATCGCCGCCCTCCCCTATGCACTTTCCCTTTTCGCCAGCAAAAGAGGAGAGTGTAGTTAGAGAGAACATCCCCATACCCTCTGAGACATCGAGAGTTTCTGACAGAAGGATATCTCGGAATTCAGTTCTGAGGCAGAGAATGAGAACTCTTCAGAGACAAATTAAAGACATAAAGAACAGCAAGTGAGGCATCTCCATTTTGGTATTACCATTACCATGCCTCGGCCTATGTTATGTTGCATGTAGACAGGCCTATCCCTTCATCCATTTTCACATGTTCGAACTCTCTCTCTCTCTCTCTCTGGATCGAGGTTGGCTTTCAGATATTTTAGGTCGTAGCATGTCATATCATGTCAAGTTGCTTTCTGAGAAAATAAAGAACCAGGGCAACTTTCCCTCTGGATGTAACTCTTCACATCTATGAATGAGAGTACAGGTTTTTAGAGCTCCATTTTTAGTCTCTAATAGAATCTATTTTCGCTTTGATCATTACATCTGGCAATGTTATTTAGTAATGGGTATGGCAGTATTTGTCAGTTCATGTTATTTGGAGTAAGAGTTTCATTGATTCAAATAAAGATTATTAATACTTGTTCCGTACATAAATAACAAAAATATAAAATTCTTTTTCCAATACAACTGCCGCAATCATGTAATTTTTATTTTCATGTAACAGAAAAAAAGAACAAAATACCAAGATTCAATTACAAGCCGAGTCTTATGTAAACTGTACCATAGATGTCTGTATGTATGACAAGCCGGGCCTTATTTATCTGTGTACTACATCTATCAGGTATTTCTTGAGTTTCTAGCAATGGAATTAGAATCTGGACCTGTCTGCTTTGCATATATAGAACCGGCGGCTGAAACTTCAGAAGGCGAAGAGGCCATAGCAGAGAGAGGCTGAAAATTCGTGTTCCCCACAAACCAATAGAGAGCCCATTTGAGGTTGCATAATGTGTACTTCAGTGCTTTTGTCCAATTCTCCTGCTTGTTGAAGCTCTGCGTTATGGAGTAGTTCTCCACTTTGTCGTTCTCGATCCTGCCAATATCATAAGAAGAACATGATTACTGTTTTTTGCCCGAGATTTGGTTTCGCGATAAGAAAAAACGGGCAGCGATTAGATTTGTTTGAAAGGTTGTGGAATTAACTTGTATGGCAGTTTGAAGCATTTCTCGGATGGGATATTGTTCTCTACATCCTTGGACTTTGCAAAATCCGCAAAGTCTTTCAGACATGTCAAAAACAATGTCATTGCTTTGTCATAGCGGGTGCTCCAGAACAAATTCACAGGGCCAAACCTGAAGATTTGTGACAACAAACGTAGTCAAGATGTCCAAGAAACAGGAAAAAGACTCCAACAACACATGTACGCTTCATGTAAAACTATACACAAGTTATGCAAGATATTTGTAAGTTAAAAGAGGACTACACCCAAAGTTGGACTTCCACCAGTTTACTAGATCTGACACAACATAACTTGGAATAACTGGTGATTCGCTACCAGAAAATTCCCTAGCAGTGAAAAGGAATACTTACAGCTCATATGTGTTGTTGCCACTGTCCACAATCCGAGGGTAACTCCCCATAGGATGTATCTTGATTCGACATCTAAAAAGGTTACTGGTTAAGGATAAACTCCAGATCTTAACAAACAAACAAACACAAAACAAATGTTCAAAAGTATCAAAACAAAAGCTGCAAATCGCTCTTGTGATATAAGGATACTGAAATTTTGGTCGGAAATAATTGCACATGGTGTGGAGCAGAAGGCAGGCTTGGCCCCAGGCAGCATTTATCTCATCCCATTCAACCTTATGTTTCAACATCCAGGCAAGTTCATAAGACTTTTGTTTAGATGATTATGACTAGGCAATGAGCGTACATGGTAATTTCCAAGCTTACCGGTACTTTAGGAAGTCTTCCGAGCCGGAAATTGTTAATTGTTCCAAATTCACCATCGTGCCATATCGGAAAGGCATCAATCAATACATTTGTCCTGTTTAATAACTCCAGGTGTGCCTGTGAAACTTCAATCTTTGCCAAGATTGAGTCTCTCTCTTCCTGTTGACAAAACACAATAAAGCTCATGAATGAATACAGAGTAGCCATTAGTGCACAATAATAAGATCATCATACACATTAGCGGTAGATATGTCAAGCACTTTTGATAAGGAGTGGAGTGAAACCACTTATCTCTCTTATAAAATAAAAATGAGGGATAATCCAAGAGACAATCAACAACACACCTGGTGTGCTATTAGTTGAAATTGAAAATTATTGAACTCTTGCCAATACCTGTAATATATCAAACCAGACAAATTAAAGACACGTGAGAAAAGAATACGTGACAATGAGTAGAAAATTCACCAAAATATTTTTCAAACGCACAGGCCACTAGAAAATACTAACCTATCTTCCAACTCTTTAAAGCGACCTGCCTTTGTCTCTAGCTCCTTCAATTGATTGTTTATCTCAGCATTCTGTTTCTCGGTTTCTTCTATAGCTGCAACAAGTTTTCTTTCTTCTTCCTCAATCTAAGTAGGAGGAACAAAAACAGAGTGGTATTCAACATACATACATACAAACATAAAGAGTGAAAATCAAATGCTAAAATCAGATGCTACCTTTAGTTTCTCTTTCAAAAAATCAGCTTCGCTAAGAACATCTTGTGCCTCTCCTTCTAACCGCTGAAGGCAGGCTTCATACGCTTCAATGTCCCTCGTCACATCCTCGACCTCTTTTTCTAGTTTGTCGGACAAAACCCTCATGCATTCTAGGCATAAAGGCTGTTCAACCTAGAAAAACCCATAAAAAATGTAAAGAAAGCTTACTCTACCCAATGAATACTTGTCAGCAAAAACTGAATATGAATAACCCCGGGGGTACCTGCGTCTGACTTCTCGCAATCTCAAATGCACGTGTTAAGACATTAATAGTGGCATGAAACCCAGAATGATTTGAATGTAAAGGACCGTTATGGCCAACTTCTAGCGATGGAATATGAGAACCACCAGTATCAGAAGTTGACTCGGACTTATAAACAACCACAAAGGATTCTTCCATTGCCTTGCCAGATTGGCCAGCATCAGGGTGAGCAGATGTCCCACGAGGACGTGGAGGAATGCCCTGTCCTTGAGGCTTTTGCCTTGGTAAAACCACAAAAGAGTTGTCCATGCGTGTAGAACCCAATACGCTATTAGCCCCATGCATAGACGAGCCCTGCATTGCTGGAATGTATTCAATGATATTCGCTGTGAGCTACGTGAGAACTACTTTTTGACACCACTAACACAATTCATAACGTATGATGCAGCGAAAGTTAACATCTTAAAATTTTGATTTTGGTCAGAGAACCAGAAAAGTTGACACCAATCTGACTCGAATCATCCCGCAATAAAATTGAATCGAGTACTCAGTTCTTCTAGGAATTAGAGGCTTGAGAAATTGCGGTAGTGAACAAAAGGGCAAGCCAATTCGGGAAAGTTTAAGCAAGCAAGAGAATAAAGTAGGTACTTTCTTCCCCAAACAAGAACCCAAATCAAACTTCCTTATTGAAGCAATATTCATCCGATCATCAGACTTCAATTCCCAAAGTCCCAGTTTTCCCACTGATCCCGAGGGGTCTCTGGTTCTAAATTGCATCCCAGATAAAGAGGAATCACAAAAAAAAAAAACAGGAATTAGCACAGTAAGCGCGAAAGGGGAAGAAGAACGCTAACCAGAATGAGAGGAATCGTTGAAGAACTTGCCAGCGTAGGAATCGACGCCGACGATGGTGAGGGAGTGGTGGCAATTCTGACAAACCCATTTCGGTAGGTTCGGATCCACCGGGAAAGTTCGGCTCTTATCAGGAATCTCCTCCTTCCTCATCGCTCATGAAATATCCACACGATTACAAGGGTTTTACAGAAGTCGTACTGCAATCTAGGGTTCTCGTTTGGCACCAACGATATCGTGAAGAGCCTTTCTTCAGAGCTTGTCATCCATTGCGGCCAGAATCCAGATGTTTGCTTGTTAAGAATCTCCGGTAGATTAATCCGACCTTCCTAATTCCAAAACTCAACGCGATACAATTAGTCAATTTCACATTATTGGCGAATCAAATATACAAAGATTTCTAGTTTGTAAATTATTAAATGTATTATACGTCAAGCACCAGTGGTCTAGTGGTAGAATAGTACCCTGCCACGGTACAGACCCGGGTTCGATTCCCGGCTGGTGCAAGTTTCTTTCGTTTTTAAAATTTTTTTATTGTTTTTAAAGTTATTTATCCCTTCTTAACCCCAGATTTTTATCATATATATATATATATTTAATTAATAGTTTATAAATATTATATTATTTAGATATAAAATAGATGACAATTTTTTTTGGTCATTCTCCTTGTCGTCGTCTTAGCATGCAGAACATATATATATTTTTTTTGTTAAACATGCAGAACATATTTATAAACTTCAAAGTTAAATCCGATCATATTTCCTATTTCGCATAGCATTCCTATCAAAATATGTGAAGAAAACACTGAAAAATATATTATCTACTTTCCGAAAAAATCTCCTCAATCCGTAGTATCCATTCACATATCTGCGATCTTAACAAAAATTTTCATACCATCGAGGTTTGGAATTTACAAGGTCATATCACTAAGGTGAGAGCTTATTTAGCTTATATATCCGAAAATTTAAACAAGAATATTAGATTCTTTCGTTTTTAAAATTTTTTTATTGTTTTTAAAGTTATTTATCCCTTCTTAACCCCAGATTTTTATCATATATATATATATATTTAATTAATAGTTTATAAATATTATATTATTTAGATATAAAATAGATGACAATTTTTTTTGGTCATTCTCCTTGTCGTCGTCTTAGCATGCAGAACATATATATATTTTTTTTGTTAAACATGCAGAACATATTTATAAACTTCAAAGTTAAATCCGATCATATTTCCTATTTCGCATAGCATTCCTATCAAAATATGTGAAGAAAACACTGAAAAATATATTATCTACTTTCCGAAAAAATCTCCTCAATCCGTAGTATCCATTCACATATCTGCGATCTTAACAAAAATTTTCATACCATCGAGGTTTGGAATTTACAAGGTCATATCACTAAGGTGAGAGCTTATTTAGCTTATATATCCGAAAATTTAAACAAGAATATTAGATATTTATATTGATTTATTGTATTTCTATAAATAAGAAGACTTTGAAACCGTCTTGTTTCTTGTTTATTTCGTTATAATACTGTTGTAAATATTGCTAGAAATTTAAGATGGGTACTAAGATATTGTAAGATGATTATCAAAATTAGATCGGCAGACAACTTTATTGTAAAATAGACAATTAGGAAACCTATCATGGATCAAATTCTAGATACTGAATTGAGATAATAAAAAAAATGTTGGACTGAATCTTATTATATTTCAATCATGTGCGAACTCAGACAGAAATTTCTGTAACCGCTGCTGTATGAGGATTGTAAGTATCAAAAAAATTTTGCAGTCTTTTAATGCCATTGAAAAAGTACAACAAGGACGAATGTATATAACTTTTGGATACAGTTATGTATCTGGGGATGAGGTTGAAGAGGAAGAACAATAGAGGGGGCAAGAATTTGCATACCATTACCAAAAACTTCGAGTTTTTTTTTTATATGAGAAGAATCAAAGTAGCTGCTGGGAGATTCTGATGGAAACAACGTCTCCGTCTTTCCCTGCTCTCATCGTGTGATAGTTCACAAGAATTCCTGCTTCAGCAAAGTAAAAGGGAACTGAATATATATCTCTTGAAAACAAATCGGCTTCTCACAATGGGGATGTGGTTGAATAGCAATGTCTTGATTTTCTATTCAATGAAATAGCGTGTATATATTATATACATATAAGAGGTTAGACCAAATCAGGAGACTAAACTAGATTATTAAATCCTATTACGAGATTAAACCATTCGTGTATGTCTATAATATCGATGAAAAGGATATATCTGTAATATCTACCTTCGTTTTCTTGCAATCTTGTGTGAACCGCGACAGCATGGTGAGCGATAACTGCTTTGGGTTGAGAATCGTTCGAGTTTCCGGTCCAGGACTTGAGGTCGAGGACACCTTAAAGTTCTCAACCAAAATGCAGGAGATCGTGTCAAGCTATAACACAAAAGGATTAGTTACTAACAACAAACAGTGAAGCTGACTTGCTGATTTACCGGAGGAAGAAGATTCTTTAAGGTGTTTCAGATCAAAAATGGCTCCACAAGCTGCACCGACGTCTTTCTGGATCTTGTGAGATCCGATAAGATTGTAGTCCCAGCTACCATCCTTGTAGCCCTCGTTAAGGAATAGCTCTATGTGTCTAGCATCCAGTGTCTGCATAGTTCCTTCACAAAAAGAACGGAAACTCTTTAGTGATTTATCTTGTACCTTTTCTTCCGAGTTCCAACCAACATGAGGAAGAAGAGCCTCGCGTATTGTTCATGACATTTTTGGTATGTTGAGGATCTGGACTATATAAGCCGCAAGAAATTAAAGAGACCATCATCTATAGTGCTGGATTTCTTTTTTTTCTTCGGGCAAGACATGTAAGATATTTTCTTGCAACAAAAAGTTAAAACCAAGTTTTTCTACCCAAAGTTGCCAAGACAAATCTTGTTCATTAGAGCTCTTTACCATCACAGGAGCTGAGGTCACAAACAGGGCAACGAACTAGCTGTAGATCTGAAAATTTTGGCACAAACTATGTTAGATCTGGGATTTGGGGCAACATGTACCAGAAGATATGGGTGAAGAAACTTTTCTTACCTGCAATCCAAATACCTCTTTTAATTTTTTTAATAACACATGAACCACAAGATTGTAACATCCGGTCTATCGTTCCTTCCTTTGGAATCCTCAGACCTCTCAGATTCTCAGTCAGGAGGCATACTTGAGAGTCGAGTGTAAAGGCACCAATCCGCATCCAATCTAGAATTAACATTCCAGATGAGGAGACCCAGTGTAATGGTAATTAAATTCAAACATCTTCAACAGTATAATGTATCGGTGGCCAGTGTTTTGCTTAGCATCTTAGTTATCATGATTCAGTCAGGCTAGGCTACTACTTTTACCAGTTTAAGAGAATACAACGTGTTTAGCAAGGAGACTGACCAATATGTTTTTCCTGCTGGCGGGACAAATAAGAGTGACTTCCATCTGCAGTGACCATTTATTGTTTCTTAGTTTACCAATGTATATATACCAAAATGTAAGTAGAAACCCCGTGTGTATCATCCTCACCAAAAGCTGAAGCATATATCTTGATCCAGCTGAAAGAAACGGGATATGGCTTGGGGACCTGAAGATCACGCAGACACGCAAACTTCCAAACAGTCTTGTCCATAACGACCAAATGGAACCATTTGCTTGTCGCTCCCAGCATCACCAGTGATTTGCCATCCAAAAATCTCGCAATGTATGTCCATATATCCTGCTCAAACCTATTTTTTGCAGAGAGAAGCAAAGATGTAGAGAGTCCATTAGAAGAAACACACAGGACCATCACCGTAAGGCTTACAAATTTGAATTCGCTTTAAGAATCCACTGTTGAGTTACTAATACGTTTTCAAATCGATCCGCTATTTGAATCTGGCCATCATAAGCGGAACTGAAACATGGTTCTGACGAGAAAAAAATGCTGTAGAAATTTAGAAATCCTATCGAAGTTTTCTAGATAACAATGGAAAAGAAGAACGGAATAAGTTGCATATTGATCGATTCCAGAAGATATAGTTTTCTCAGCAACAGTGCATACAGTAATGAACCAAAATCCGCATCAACAAAAATTCACATATTAATCTAACTGATTCCAGTATTTGAGTTCCGGAAAGATCAGAGGATGATTGATCAGCATAGATCCATCAAATCAAAATAACAAAACTAATCGCATGAACATTATGAAATTGAAACGCGTGATCGAATCAAAATCACGGAGCAGTAAAAATGGAGAAAATCAAATTCGCATAATATCCACAACGGCAGCGGGAGACATCTAGAGATGAATTTCACATAAAATTGAAACCGAATGTACTGCGAAGCGAAATAAAATACCATGAGAAGCTGGATCGGAGCGAGTAAGCAGAACACCGAGGAGAAACGCAGCCATGGATGCCTCTGCTTCCTCTCAGTCTTTTCCCGATCCTCTGGCTGTTGCTCTCTTCCATTCTCTTCTTCCCTCTGCTCTCTTCTTCTCTCTCCCCGGCTCTCTTCCTCATTCTCTCTCTCTGAGAATCTCTCTAGTTTGTTAAGAAAAGAGGTTATTCAAATTTGGTAGGAGCTCTAAAATCTTTTCGCAGGGATTATACACATATACACGCGCGAAGGACACAGCGAATTTGAATTTAGTCCGTAAATTGACGTTTATACCCTCACCAGTGAACCTCATCGGGCCCTGCTACGTACTGCTATTTTGGGCATGTGTTGCGGAAGGAGATGGGCCGTCTCCTTGTATATTCTTTTTTTTTTTTTTTGGTAAACCTCCTTGTATATTCTTCCCGATTGTTAATTTGTTAATGACGTTTACGTCAAATTTTTCTGAAATTAAATCAACAAAAACCATAATAAAAACCAAGAATTGCCAAATTCACCGAGCTGGTATTCGGTTTTGAGTTTTAGTACCGGTTATTGACTCGGTTATGGGTTTTCCGGGAATGACGATTTTACCCCCGAGCGTTCTGGCTTACGGGGGAATAATAATCAACGTTAAGTGCCGTTGGTCTTTTGACCAATCAGAAGGAGAAAGCCTTGACTTCTTAAATTGCGATACGCGTCATCTACGACTGCGAATCCGATGCGGCGACAAGTGTACCTTCTTCGTAACTTCTTCGACAGCTTTCTCTCTCCAACTCTTTCGTCCCCTTGTTTCAGGAACTACCGACGTCTTCTACGCCATTGATTCACTCTTAACTCCCCGACTTTTCTATAATTGGGTTGTGCATAAAGCTCCTGTTCTTCTCCCCATTTTTCCTTCGGTTCTTTCCTTCCTCCTGGTAAGAATCCGCTCTCGTTTTTATGGCCCGCATTAAGTGGTTTTCATCGATCATTGTTTTTCATCGCCTTTTGAATTATGATTAGCGTTGACGAGATTCCATGTTGCGAATACATCCCTGATTTCTGGGTTTGATCTGTTCTTTCTAGGGTTTTGTCGTCTCTGGGAAGGAGAGAGGCCATGGATTTGTAATTGTAGGGTTCATGCTCTGTTGTTAGATAGGCGGAATTTCTGTACAAATCTCCCGCTTAAAGTCTGTTGTTTCTCGAGATTTTCTCTCGAATCCTAGGCTAGATATGTCGTCAGCTGGTGTCACGCTTAGTCCGGTTCGTAGTGAGCCGCCATTGTCCCTCGTTCATACGAATCCTTGTGCGGATCCCTACCCGGCCGAGTCCATCGTGGTTTATCTTTCCCTCTCTGGAACCATGGTCCCAATGCGGGTGCTGGAATCTGACTCAATTCAATCGGTTAAGCTCAGGATTCAATCGTATCGTGGGTTTGTAGTGAGGAATCAGAAACTTGTTTGCAGTGGACGTGAACTTGCGAGGAGCAATTCGAATATCCGCGAATACGGTGTGAGTGATGGTAACATTCTGCATCTGGTTCTCAAGGTCTCTAATCTTCAGGTCCTCGAGGTTAAAACTACGTGCGGGAAACACTACACGTTTCATGTGGAGAGGGGGAGGAACATTGGGTATGTGAAAAAGCAGATTGCAAGAAAGGGAAAAGACTTTGATGATCCCAATGAACAGGAAATTCTTTATGAAGGTGAGAAACTGGAAGACCAGAGGCTTGTTGATGACATCTGCAGAAACAATGACACGGTTTTGCATCTTGTGGTGCGGAAACCTGCCAAAGTTCATCCTAGGCCTGTGGAAAAGAATTTCGAATTGTCTATTGTTGCCCCACAAGTGAATGATGGAAAAGATTATGATGTTACTAAAAAGACCAATGGAATAGAATGTGATGTTGGTGAAGCACATGGTGCAAAAAGTCGGGAATCTAATGGCATTGTTCTTCCGAGGAAGCCTTCAGATCATCGCTTCTCATTGGACCCAGTCATTGTTAATCCCAAGGCTAAGTTACCTTTGGTGGTTTCGGAAATGATGGTGTCTGCTTCTGATGGACTGGAAAGGGGTAATTCCCCAGTCAGATCGAGAGAGGGCACAGGAGGAGCTTATTTCATGCAGGATTCATCTGGCCAGAAGTTTGTTGCTGTATTTAAGCCAATCGATGAGGAACCAATGGCAGTCAATAATCCTCATGGGTTACCGACATCACTCAATGGCGAAGGTTTGAAGAAAGGGACAAAGGTTGGAGAAGGGGCATTGAGGGAAGTTGCAGCTTACATTTTGGATCATCCCAAAGGTGGACGCAGGTCTTTGTCTGGTGAAGAGAGAGGCTTTGCTGGTGTACCTCCAACAACTATGATCAAATGTCTGCATCATGGGTTTAACCATCCCAAAGGAATAAGACCCAAGATGGGATCACTGCAGATGTTTATGGAGAACAGTGGCAGTTGTGAAGAATTGGGCCCAGCTGCATTTCCAGTGGAGGAAGTGCATAAGATCTCTGTGCTGGATATTAGACTGGCAAACACGGATAGGCATGGTGGGAACATCTTACTGAGTAAGGACGAAGATGGTAGGAATGTTTTGGTCCCAATCGATCACGGTTACTGCTTACCTGAAAGTGTAAGCATATTAGTTCTTAATCATATCTGTTTATCCATCGATGTGGAAATGATGACTTAACACTGATGTTTGCCAATGCTTATGCCACAGTTTGAAGACTGTACGTTCGAGTGGCTTTATTGGCCACAAGCCAGAAAACCCTTTTCTCTTGAGACTGTGGACTATATAAGATCATTGAACGCGGAGGAAGATATTGCTCTTCTGAAGTTCCATGGATGGAACATGCCACTCGAGTGTGCCCGAACACTCCGCATCTCCACCATGCTTCTGAAGAAAGGAGTTGATAGAGGACTAACTGCTTTTGACATTGGAAACTTCATGTGCAGAGAAACTTTGACAAAGGAAACTCTTCTGGAGGAGATCGTGTCGGAAGCTGAGGAGTCCCTGCTCCCAGGCACGAGCGAAGCTGCTTTCTTAGATACCTTATCTGTTTTGATGGATCGCCGTCTTGATGAGATGGTTCGCTCTCAGGGCACTGTAGGAAATGGTGTTGCTGTGTGAGCGTTGGCGAATCCATTATATTCTCGTACATATTACCATGGCAGGAAGATGGTGAAGTGTTGGTTTTGTCTATAAACTTGTTGGCAGAATGGTGTTTTCCATCATTTGATCAATTCTTTGGACCTGGTCATCTGTGAAAGATGTTGCAAAGTCATTTGTCTTTTCTTTGATATATATTTTCAGGCAATGAAATTTCTTTCTTTCACTGTTTTCAGTTGCCTCTTTTTTATTTGGATCTCTAATCCTTGCTTCCAATCATAAACAGGAGACAATCAGGCACATTAAAAACAGAATTAGCTTATCTCAACTTAATTTTCTGTCTGAATCAGGAGACAAGAGGCAACATCTTAGGTAAAATTTTTAACTGCTTCTAGACCTGAATGTAGGTTGTGACCTGTCTGGAAGACTGAACTCTACGATCAGTGATGAACGTCCCAGTCTCATCAAACGTTTCTAGGCATCATCACGTTTGTGGTTTTTGGTTATTTGAAGGCTTGAAGCCCTTTTCCAGTATCCTCTTTGACCGTTTCCTAAAACATAGAGAGAGTAAAACATATGGAGTTGCCATATATCTTAAGCAGGAAAACACTATAGGATGATCATTCTGTGTCGGCAAACATCATTACCTTCTTCCCGTAGGTTTGGATTTCAGATTAAACACGCCCTTCATTAGCGAGCTTATATCCACCGAGCGTTCCCCCATGATCTTTTCATGGTACATTTTGCTCCCTATCTCACATATCTGTTCTTCCACCTCCTCCAGTGGCTGGTCCACATTCAGCTTCAATTCCCCTTTCCTTATAACTGTTACACCAAACCCATTTGCTTTGGCTTCCCGAAAGGCGTCCTGACATGTAAAAGGGCATTCACTTAGAACCCACATGACCGGTAAGTAAGAAACACTTTGTAATGTCAAGAAAAGCAGTAAAAAGAAGTTTTTTTTTCTCCTGATGGGCCTTTAGAGAACTGTACCTTGGGTGGACGTGGGACAATGAAAACATTGCCCTTTCCAAGCATATCCAAGTGAGCCTGAATGATGTAAGCGAGGTTTTTGCAGTCAGAAGCGTCTTCAAAGGCGATCACATGATGTGGTTTGGGTTCTAGTTCGAGATCTGCCGCCATCTCTAAGGCATAGAATCCTACTCGTTGCTCCCCGTCATCAACTGTGTATAACTCTAGGCACTGAAGACATTCGGACAAAAAGTTACACGTAAAATCGGTAAGGAACTCAGACTTTGTGTCTGTAAAATACGGAAAATTTTACTGACCAGAACATGCGGAAGATCCAACCACCATAGATAGTCTTCTTCCTTCTCTTGTCCATACTCGCGGTATTTGCTGACAACAGCTTGAGGTCCAAACAACTCCATTTCTCTCCTGAGTTTGTTGAGTTTCTTTTCTATGACCTTCTTGTTCTTGTCTGGTAGTTTATCCATTACCTCAGCAGCATCTTTTATCTCTTCCTCAGTGATCCATCGGTCCAAATCCTTTCCCATGTCCCTCATAACAGCTTTCACTTCTGGGTCGGTCTCTGCATTGTACAGTTCCAGGAACCCGCGGGACCATTTCTTCGTGTGCTGCCAAAATTCCGTTCCTGACTTCTTTCCAGGCCTGATAGAACCATCACTTCCTTCTATAACGATCTTCGACTGACTTGCTGAACTGTCAGTTGATGAAGTAGAAATATTCTCGATCGAACCAGACACTGCCGGATTCTGAAGAGAGCTTTGTTCTTCCTTCTTCACGGGAGTTTCCGACGCAGATTTTCCAGAAAACAATGCACTTCTTTGTTCATGATAGTTATTAAGAAAGTCAGGGCTCTTTTCTAGTGGAGGCCCTTTCCATCGTGGTATGATTTTTTCGGGTGGATCGTGGAGACTGATACCATCTGAATCAAGAAGAGGAAAACAAGTAAACAAGAATGATTTTGCTCAATATATAGGGAACAAACCAAAATGGTAAGAAAATAGTTTACCAACTCCATAATCGAGATTTTCAATGTTTGAATGAAGCCATTGATGCAGGTGAGATAATTTTTCATTAACTTTCTCAACCTTGTTCTCCAAGCCTTGGAAGAACATGGCCTTGTCTTCAGCATCCACTGAGTAAAAAGGATCCCGACCAGCCAGCTCATTATCTCGAACACGGAAGACAATGTCTCTTAGTTTATCGTCCTTCATCCACTCAAGTTCATCATCATCCTCGTAAGGGTAAAGTTTCGCAATGTCTGTAATTGTAGAGGATTGCAGGCTTTCTTTCTCTCGAGCTGCCATATAATTATCTCTAAATCCAGTTCTCATCTTTTCAACAATAGGCCCGAATTCATGAAAGTTTTTCTCCATCCAGTTCTCTCTCCTTGCTGCTTGTTCCATCTCTTTATGCTCATTATCCAAAGAACTTTTGGCTGTTTTACGACTCGCTGCAAGCCCTTCCAGTGAATTCACAAATTTCCCCTCTTTGTCTGGTCCCTCATCCTTATGCCCAGGTTTTATAAATTCCTGACCATCGTTCTTTTGGGCAAGAGTATCTTTATCATCCTGTAAAAAATTTCCAGAAGAATCTGAATCAAGTGTAAGTTTAAACATTCCGTCGAAACTGGTTGTATCAAAGTTTTTGTTTTTATCTTTCAATTCCTCTGAAGCCCTTCTTCTAACCCCATTTGGCTCTTCATCATTGTTTCCTTGTTGCTTCGAAAATCTTTCCCTGTCCTGAATTGTCATCTGAGAGGGTTCTTGGCAAAGCTCTTCACCAACACTTCTATTTGAAAGGAACTCTTTAGCCTCTTTCACTGAACGTATGACCCGTGGCCTATAACCAGTACCATTCTTCTTCATGAACGGTTTCTCTTTAGAAGGATCGGAAG